TCCTGCTCTCCTTTGGGCCTCCAAGGTTCGGCATTAGTCGTGCGAGACTAGCCCTCACTACTGATGCTTTGGCACTGACGTGTTCCACTTGCTGTTTGAAGTTGAGACGGGCATCAAGCATCACTCCCAAATATCTGATGTAAGGTTGTGATGTGATTTCTTATTCGTCTACTTTCAGCTTGATGGTCTCTAACAGTTTTCTGCTGGATATAAGCACTGCCTCGGTTTTGTGTGTAGCCAGATGCAGGTTTACCGTATTCATCCACCGTTGGACTCGCTCGAAGGTGATGTCGAATATGTTGTTAATCTCGTCAAGGTGTTTAGCGACGATTACTACGGCTCCGTCGTCTGCATATGCTACGAGTTTTATACTTCTTGGCAATTTCAATTTCAATAGGCCATCGTACATGATATTTCACAGCAGTGGACCAAGTACAGAGCTCTGGGGTACACCTCCGGTAATATCATACTCTTTTAGACCATTCTTCGTGTCGTATTTAAGAACTCTATCGGTAAAATAGCTGGCCACTATTCTACACAGGTATTCTGGGACGTTTTTCTCTCGAAGAGCTTGCATGATGCAGTTCCAGTTGGCGGAATTGAAGGCGTTTTTATTGTCTAATGCCGCCACCAGGCAATACTTCTTTGCGCCATCCTTCCATCTCGTTCCTGCGATCGCTTCTTTAGCCGTGCTAACAACCAGATTGATCGCGTCCAGGGTTGTATGTATGTATGTATGTATGTATGTATGTATGTATGTATGTAAATCTCTCATAGCTTTTGAACGGATCATCCAATTTAATCGAAATAAGCGGTGATGCAAAGAGTTCGTTTGCCCCTAGAATTCTGATACTAGTTTACAGAATTTGAGTCGATAAATTTTGAGAAATCTCAAGAATAAAATTTCCAAAAATTTGTTTTTCTGAAATATCTTTTCAACGACTGAACCGATCGATTTCAAAAACTATTCAGCTTTTAACTTAAAAAAACCACGTCAATTTTTACTAGCCCGGTTCAAATAGGTTGATTCGTTTGTGAGATATCGTTGTCGAAAAAAATTGAAAAAAATGTTTTTTTTCAGAATTTCTATGAAATTTTTTGACGAACCAGTTTACGCTTAAAAATTCTTCAAAGAACTCAAAAGTGTGATTACAGCACACTTGACAGTTAGATGTTGACAGTTAGACATTGTTGAATGTTTATTTTAAATAATTAATTTAAGTATTAGAATAGTATTTGAGAGAAATCTTAACAAGTTGTTTTTACTTTATGACATCTATTGACTTTGTAAAAATGAGACAAGGATGTTAACCAAAAGATTTGCCGGATAAAGCTGAAAATAAATTCGCTGATAAATTAGCGAAACGTTGCAATACCTATAATTTAATATCTTGGAGTTGCAAGTGTGGTGTCACTGCGTCCACATCGTGACTATAAGCCTGAGCGTTTTTACTCGTTTTTTTTAACAACGCAGGCTGGTGCTTGGTTGTCAGTGTTGTTGCGGTGCTGTATTAAACCCCTGCTAATATTTCTAGATATAAATTTCAATCAGCAACGTGCGTTTTTTAGTGCAATTGTAGATTAAACGCATCCGCTTTTCATCAAAAATAAGGTTAGTTTCTCACACGCTTGGAGAGGCCTGTCGATAAAGTGGTGAGCTTTTACCCACAAACATGAACTCCAATCCCGAGTTAATTAGCTAAACAACAGATGGTACCCCGATCGGAAACGTACTTACGCCGAACAATGACTTCTACAACAACACATCCACAAACTCCATGCTTGTACATACGGGTGAATACGTAAACAACAACTCGCTCGAATATGACAGCTCAATGGACGATGACGAGGATTTAAATAACACGGCGATTGAGGTGCACTCGCCAAACCACGATCATGCTGACCTAGACCCTAAGGAAGTCAAAAGGCGCGGAAGACTCTCCAACGCCGAGAGACTTGCAAAGTTGAATGACAAGTCACAAACCAAGCTAAACTACATATCAAAAAGAAAGGAACGCGAGGATGACCTCATCGACAACCTATCACGTAAAAGAAACACTCACCTCTCTCCTCCGAGCTCCCAGGTTTCAAGCCAGACAACAGCATCAGCCAGTGCTTCCCATTCTATACCGTCTCCATTATCACCTATTCCTGAGGTGAACTCACTCTAGGACTTAATGAAGCAACTCATGATTTGGAGACACGAAGACAAAAGCGACATGGCCAAATTCATGGCCGAAGTATTTGAGCGAATCTCCAACGAAACCGATAGGCTCTCAAGCCGAGTCGATCAACTTTGTGATGAGCTCATCACTGAATCTACTAATCTGAAAGAAGAGTTACACCGTATCAAAACGAGAGTCACGGCTATGGAGCAAATGCGGCCTACGAAATTTGGTTTTTTCCGTAACCTGGAACTCAACCTGGTAAATGCCGCCATCAACGAGATCGAGCGTAGAAGACGAAAAAATAACATCATCATACGTGGACTTGCTAATTTACCACCATCAACCTCAGCACTAGATTCTGCCTCTTGACTTCTGGAGCAGCGCTTCAAGAAAACAAACGTCATCATGCAGGCGGACTTCGTAGGCCAGAACAACAACATCATACGGTGTACTTTAAACTCTGCACTAATAAAAAAAGAAATCATGCTCAACAAAAGATCAGCTCTCCCGAGTTCTGTGTACATCGGCCACGATAGGACGCTAGCTGATTCTGCCATTGCCCGGGAGATCAGACACGAAGCGCACAGACTCAGAGCTGCAGGTAACCAAGTCAAAACTGGCCAAAGATCCATCCAAATTGACGGCATTTGGCATCAATGGGATGGCTACAAGTCTAAAAACCCACCAACAAGCCCTGGGAAACTAGCTGCTACAGAAGCTGAAAATACTGGCAAGCCTCCAGTGACTGGGCCCCAAACTTGGTCTCTCGATTCGCACAAAAATGGCCCCAGCAGGTCAAGACATAAAGCAGCTGGCAAAACTCCTTCCACGGGAAGTTCTCGTATCACTCATGACAATAAACCAAAGCGGCCTCACCCAAAAAACGGGGTAACGCCCAGGATGTTACAGCAATAACATTCTGGAACGCACGAGGTCTCCCTGAACCTCAGGTTTTGCTCAGCCTCAAAGAAGGGACTATAATCCACATTTCAGAAACATGGCGTACCACAGGTAAAACCAACCTTCCTTCCTCATTAGATTCATACAACAAAGTGTGGTCCCCGGCAATCAAAAATAAAATTCTTGGAAGGCCCAGCGGCGGTCTGGTCACGCTCATTGACAAAGATTTAAATTATCGGATACTGTCCTCATCTCACCACTGGCTGGCAACGCTCGTCACGATCAACGATGTAAAAATCATCATGGTATCACTATATCTGAGTCCAAGTAGTAGTATTTCTACGGTTTTAAATGACTTTAAATTAACTTTAGACGACCTGCTGCTGTCGACTGATTTTGATCTTTTTATTATAGGTGGAGATTTCAATGCTCGCCTGGGACTCCTCAACACAGTCCCACTTGAAGCCGCTGACGGCTCTCACATTACGCTAAAGAGGAACTCTATGGATACAAAGGTAACCCAGAGAGGTATTGCGCTCAACAACTTCATGGAGGAGCATAGGTTTGTACTTTTGAATGGAAGGTGTCACCCGGACACCTCAGGCAAGTTCACGTTCTTTGGAGCTCAGGGCCTAAGTGTAGTAGATTTGGTATGGGTAAACACTGCAAGTATTGACCTCATCACGGAATTCAGCGTTGACCAGAGTGCCTATAGATCTGACCACTATCCAATAGTAGTCAAAGTTGCCACCAAAGCCCACAAACCGCACATGTGACCTCCTCAAAACGTGCAGCAATCAACAACGCGACTTAAATGGAACCAAAATGCTGTCTCCACGTTTCAGCAAGCTATAAGATGGTCTCCACTGGCTATGTTTGACAGCAAGGACCTGAGTGCCAACTCCCTTAATACGAATATTGCGAATGCAGTCCATCAGGCTGCTGAGTCGACCGGGATGGTCTCTACCAACTCTGGTATCTGGAAACCACACACACAAAAACCATGGTTTGATGCCGAATGACGGGCCATGAAACACCACCTCACTGAATTGCACAATGCCTGTCGGAGCCTCAATTTTGCCTGCTCATCTAATAACGTGGAATTCCACCAGCTAAGAGTCATATATCAGAAGCTTATCAGCGACAAGAAGAAAAACTACCCTAAAAAGATAACAAATGACTTCGCAGCGGTCACTGATACAACAAAATTCTGGGCTGTAGTCCGCTCGGTCAAACGAGTAACCGTTTATACCCCACCATTGCCAATCCAAGCCTGGAATTACTTCTATGCCAATATCTACCCCTCACGCATAGTGCCCGAGCTTTCTCTGTTCCCTGACAACGAATCTATCGAGATTGAGCAGCCATTCACTTTTGACGAGGTAAAAAACTGCCTCAGGAAACTCAAAAATGGAAAAGCTCCCGGCTGTAATGGAATATCCAATGAATTCTTGAAAAATCTGCCCACTAACTGGATCTTGTACATCCAAGCTATGTTTAACCGCATACTTGACGTTGGGGAAACACCGGACTGCTGGTCTAAAGTCGTGCTTACAATGTTGCACAAGAAAGGAGACGCAAGTGATCCCAACAACTTCAGAAGAATCGCTTTAGTGAATTGTCTGGCAAAAGTCTTCACTCAACTCATCAACCAAAGACTCACAACGTGGGCTACAAATAATAAGCTTATACCAGAAGAGCAAGCTGGGTTCTTGAAAGGCCGTGGATGCCAGAACAACGTTTTTATTTTAAATGCCGCTCTTCAAATCTACCTCAGACAAGCAGGTGCTACGTGCTTTGGGTTGTTTGTTGACTGTCGCAGAGCTTTTGATTCCATCCCTCATCACTTACTCTGGCCCAAGCTCCTCAGTATCGGACTCAGTAAAAGGGTTATAAATATCGGTTCCATGATTTTTGATCCCCCGACAAAATATCTCCCGACAAAATATCCCCGGACAAAATATGGTTTTTCTGTATATAATATATATATATATATATATATATATATATATATATATATATATATATTTATAATAAATTTCATTTGGCCGATTTTCATATATATTTTATAATTATAAATTATTATAAATTTATAACTTATAATTTAATAATTATAATAAATTTCAATAATTTATAATTATTATTTCAGAAAAACCATATTTTGTCCGGGGATATTTAGTCGGGGGATCAAAACGCCTGATACCATAAATATCATGCGCAGCATTTACGCAGCATCTACGAGTTAGATCCAATGGGGATTTTTCCAATCCCGTGGAAGTAACAACTAGGGTACTTCAAGGCGAAACTTTGAGCCCACTGCTATTCATATTATTAATCTCCGACATAGTCTCCTATTTCAGGAACAAAGGTCTAACTGAGCTACAACTCAATAATCTCCGTGAACTCCTAATGCTTCTTTATGCTGACGATCTGGTCATCTTGGTCAGAAGACAAATAGACGTGAGTAAAGCCTTAAGTACCCTTGAAGAATATTGCTCCAGGAACGGGCTTGAAGTGAACACTGGGAAAACCAAGGTCGTCCCTTTTTGCAAGAGTGGTTTTCGCAAGAATTTTCCTAAAACCTTCCAATACAAGGATTCACCGGTCGAAGTAGTTGACTCCTATGTCTACCTAGGTATAATGTTCATGACAACTATGTCCGGACGTCAAGCTGCTTTAGAAGCTGCAAAAAAAAAGCCAGTGCTGCCTCCAGTGCTTCCTTGGGAATACTGAGTCGGGTTGCGCTTTTTTAACATAATTTTAACGCTCTTTTAACATTAGAATTACAATACACACTATTATATAAATTATCATATTGGATGTATGTTGCAATAATGATGAGATGTTGATGATCGGAATTAATTTGTTATGAAATGTTTTCAGTTGAGATCTTTTTGGTGGAGATGTTTTTGGGTAAAGATCTTTTTGTCATAAGATGTTTTTAGTGGAGATGTTTTTGGTTGCGATTTTTTTGGCTATAGATCTTTTTGTCATGAGATATTTTTTCTGAGATAAGATTGCCGGGATATTTTTGCCAAGACGTTATTAGCTGAGAAATTATAAGGGACCACCAACAACTTTACTATATCCCTCCCTATAGCCTTACTTGCTATAGGGAAATACTTGCTTTATCCACCACTGTATTATCATAATTTAATCAATTATAAACTCGAGCTAAATAAAATAATTTTTACTTATCACTAGAGGCAAGAAAATATAGCTTTATAGGACTATGCTTTGTGACGTTTACTTAACATTGTAACGGAGTGATCGTTACTCGGTAAATTCCCCTATTTCGGTACCCAGTTATTTATCGACTGCTCACAGTGCGCTGTGATCTAAAGCTCGTTTAGAGCTAGTAAGAAAGGCCCTGAGGTGGAGAAGCCGGCGTAGTGGTAGTGGGGAGAGCAGAGGAAGCAAGAAAGGACGAGCTAAAGTTGGTAAGACTCATTGTGACTGAGTGGCTCGACTGGACGACAAGCAAATTTTTCTAAATCATCCAGTTAAGGTAATTATTTTTATTCTGCATGTCCAACGTGGAACGAAGCTATAACATTTTGTTAATTTAATGCTTGCTAGGCCTAATGCCAGCTTGGTTAGATTAACTTTAATTTGTAATAATTTCTAATGCCGATTCGCGGTTACAGGCGTAATAAATACCGAGAGAGCGAGTGATGGTGACCAGAGTTTGCTGCCAAATTGAGAATACCTCACCGAAGAAAAATCCACGCCAGTACCCGAAGACGAGGAGTTGCAGCTCACTGTTGGAGTGCAGATTAAAATTATAAGAACTCCAGGTACAAATAACGAGTCTTAATTATTCCTCGGGTCTGCGGCGTCAGCCAGGCAACACGTCGGCTGAAGGTCACCGCCATTTCGTGCTCAGTCACAATCGTTAGTTTATTTAGTATCAGATTTAGTGTCGGATTTAATATTAATATTAGAGAAATTATAAAACAATTAATTAATAATACCAGGACAGGTTTCGGGTTATTGATTAATTTGTTTAGGGAAAATAAGTTGCTTTTGTCATTACGAATTTTACACGTAGGCCTGTCTGGGTTGATAATACTAGGCATTAGTTCGAGTTATTAATTCCAGATTTTTACGCCATGTGTAAAATTTATTTATTTAAAAATCTTTGAACAATAATTTGGCTTAAGCCAGTAGCAATGAAATTGAGTAAACCGCTAAATTCAAATTATTTAAGACAAGAATTGATTCGACAGTAAAATTATTTTAAATAAATTACTTCGGGCATTATTTAATATTCATCATAATTTACAAAAGCTAAAATTAGGAAAGGGTTATAGATTGGCTTTAATAAATTTATTTTTTATTAATAAATTATTAATATAATTTCTGAACATCGAGAAAACATTCCAGTCACAGCTCACGACCAGTCAAGCGTCTCTCGGTACCCGAGGTCAAGCTAACTACGCAGTAACGAACAAACGGCGTCTATTTTGAGCGCGCAAATTCCTTAAGAATTTTGTGACGCAGTAAATTTATGAAAGAAATACCTGGACAATTTTTATAATTGAATTACCACTTAATTAATTATTTTATTGATTTATATTTCATTATTTATTGAAAATTATTTAATTATTTATTCGGAACAATTTTATTTACCGGAATTATAATTTCTGAGAAATTGCGACGCATTTAGAAATTTAATACTCGTGGATACTTTTCGGTATTTATTTTCTACACCGAGATGAACTATTAATTAATAAATCGTCACTCTCAATTTATCGAAAAATAATTATTCCACGCGTTATTAATTATTGAGAATTAATTATCAAATTTTGGCGCAGATAAGACTGATACACCCGCAGTAAAACTTCAGGCACGTAATTTTTATATTGAGTAAAATTATAATTGATTATCTAATTTAACGGCCAAATTCTGCTTGGGGAGTCTTATATTGAAATTATGTCTTGGAAAATTTATCAATAATTTATTATCATTGTTCTGGTAAAATTAATTGTAATACTATTATTCGTGTGAATTAAGTCCGAAAATTTTAGTTAAATTTACAAAAGAGTATTCTAAGAAATTGTTAATGCGCAGAGTTAAGCTCGTGTTAAAATTGGAGGGAAAAGTAGCGTCGGTTTTAAGCCGGAATTTTTAAGAAGTAAATTTGTTAATTCGTGAGAATAAATTATGAGTTTTTATTTGCGAGCTAATGACTGATAAATTTTATTAAGAAAATTAATGTTGACATTTTTGGAGTTTAATTTTGTAAATCCGGAAAAGAAGTAAAGTAGAGTCAGTGTGTGTGTGAGGCGTGTGGGGTATGTGTGTGTGAGTGCTACCAGTGTTCCTTCGCAGACGTGCAGTCCGTTTGCGAGGTGTTTTGCTGGCGTAGAGCGTGAGGGTCCAGTGGACAGCGCGACGTAAGGGGTATGTGTGTGTGAGAGAGCTGCAGAGGCTTCTTGGCTTATGTTGCAGTCACTAGGCTGTTGCTTCTGTAGCAAGGCGTTATTGATAAGCCCTCGAACACTGAAGTCTTTGTACGAGGTGTCTTATTGTAGTTATAAGTTGTAGTAGCGACTTTCCTGTGGAAAGCGTGAAGTAAGAAGTCGTAATATTAAGTCGTAGTGTTAAGTGGAGTCGCCGGTTTTAGCCCGAAATCCTCCAGTAGTTGTAAATGAGATAGTTATAAGTGAGTTGAGGAGTACGTGCAAGTGCACGAGTTGTTAACTTGTTAATTTTAAATTGTTGAATAAAAACCGGTTAATTGTTAATAAAAATATATTTATTTCAGACCACCTTTCTCTCTCTCTCTCCCTGTAGATTATAAGCTCTGCTCTGGCATCCGGTTCCAGGAACCGAGAAAATAATCCTGGTGGCGCCCTATTTAACTTTAAGATCATTTGTTGCTATTTTGTTGTTTTATTAAATTTAAATAATAGAGTCAATCGAACGGGAAATAAACCACCCGTTACAAATTGTTTCATCTGTAATAAAATTGGGCACAAAGCAGCTGATTGTCCAGATAGAGCAAACGATGAAAAGCAAGAATATTCATCAAAAGTTGAAGCTCAAGTCGAAGATGCGTTTCAAGTAACGGAAGAGGCTCTTCATACGAAGCAGGTATCAAATGATAGTCGATGGTGTTTAGATAGTGGCTGTACATCTCATATGTGTAATAATGAAGCAGCATTTATCAATATGACGTCAACAAATGGAAATTTTTTGTTAGCTAGCGATGCACAAACTGAAATTGTAGCAAAAGGAACTGCTCGTGTTTTTACTACAGATGGAAAATCAAATAGGTCGGTAAAACTTAATGATACATTATTGGTAAAAGAATTAAGAACTAATTTGTTATCTGTTGCGAAAATTACGGATCATGGAAATACTGTCAGTTTTTCTAAAACTGGTGCAACTATTTTTGGAAAAGATAGTGAAATAAAACTGTTAGCACAAAGAGTTGGAAACTTATATTATGTCTGTGGCAGTGAAGAGCAAGCAAATGCGGCAATAAATAATAATTCAGCAAGTTTGAAGTTATGGCATCATCGTCTGGGACATTTAAATAAAGAAGATCTGTTAGAAATTTCAAGAAAAAAATTAACTAGTGGTATGAAGAAAAGAAATTGGAGGCATGTGACATATGTTTAAAAGGAAAAATGACTGTATTACCATTTCCTAAGAAGTCTGAACGATGTACAACGAAATTAGAACTAATACACACTGATGTTTGGGGACCGTCAAGAGTAGAATCATTAGGACGTGCTCGATATTTCGTAACATTTATCAATGACAGTACACGATGGTGTGATGTTAAATTTTTACGTCTTAAAAGTGATGTTCTTCAAGTTTTTAAAGAATATAAAGCACGTGTTGAAACTCAGACAAATTGTAAGATTAAATATTTGATGTCCGATAATGGAACAGAATATTGTAATAAAGAGTTTGATGAATTCCTAAAGAAAAATGGTATTTCTAGACGTCTAACTGTTCCCTATACACCACAGCAAAACGGACTGGCAGAGCGGAAAAACAGGACATTAATTGAAATGGTGCGATGTCTTTTAATTCAATCTGGATTGGGTCATGGTCATGGATTTTGGGCTGAGGCAGTAGCTACTTCTAATTATCTAAGAAACAGATGTCTAACATCTAGATTGGATAATCATTCTCCATTTGAAGTTTGGAATAAAGTAATACCTGATTTATGTAATCTAAAAGTTTTTGGTGCAAAATCATTTGTTTTAGAAAAACAACTAGGGAAATCAAAGTTTGATCCGCGTTCAAAAGAAGGTATTTTAGTCGGTTATTCAGAAGAATCAAAAGGTTATCGAGTATGGATTCCAATTGAAAGAAAGGTTGTAGTTGCTAGAGATGTACAAATTCTTGAGGATCAATTTTTAAATGAAATAAAAGAAGATAAAATTTTTGATAAAAATGAAGAAAATATTGAATGTGTTCATATGCCTATTCAAAATGAAAATGAAAATAAAGAAATTGAAAATGATGAAATTAATGAAGAAATTTGTACACCAAATCGTATTTCACGTCGAAAACCGGGAAGACCACGGATGGAGAAAACAGGTAAAAGAGGAAGACCAAGAAAAATTTACAACACTGGACAAGCAGCAAATATAAACGAAGACCAAGAGGAACATAATGATAATGAAGATATTGAAATGCAATAAGAGCCAAATGATGATGAAATATTTGTTGATGCAACAGAACATGAAGAAGAAATAATTGAAGAAGCA